TGGGGATTAAACAAGAAAAATGTATTCTCTCCCAATTCTGGAGAAGAAAAATCCAAAGGCAAGATAAAGACTTCTTCCAGAGACTCTACGGGAGAACCCATCTTGCCTCTTCCTCTAGGCTCTGCTGGCTCCTGGCATTTCTGGGCCAAGGTCCCAGCATTACAACCTCTACTCCGCCATTTCATGGCCTCCTCTTTATCTTTTTGTCAGGGATGGGGAAATGGCTCGGCTGGTAAAGGCATTTACCTCAGACCTCCAGACTCATGTATAAAAGCCAGGTGATGGTAAGATAGGCAGAGACAGGCAGACTCCCTGGAACCTGGAGTCACCTGGCCTGGCCTCTGTGGGGGAATTCCAGAGCCTGCAGCAAACAAAATGTGGGAAGCCCCTAAGGACCCACACTCAGGCTGTCCTGTCATCTCCATCCTCACCGCACACGGCACACGCATCTGTATACACACACACACACACACACACACACACACATACACACACACTCACTCACTCACACACACAATGTAAAAACTAACCAACCAACCAACCAACAAAAACACTATTCTAGGCTGGGGAGATAGACGTCTCAGTGGCTAAAGAACTTGGTGAACAAGCTGAGTACCGTGTTGGAATCCCAGGACACACATGAAGAAGCCAGGTGTGGCGGCAGGTGCTTGTAACCCCATTGCTGGGGAGGTGGAGACGGGTGGATCCTCAGAGCTCCCTGGCACGCCCGCCTACCTGAAATGGTGAGCCACAGGGTCAGGGAGATGCCCTGCGTCAAAAACTGAAGTGGAGAGCCACCGAGGAAGCTATCTTCTATCCTGGCTGGCTTGGAACTCTATGCTCCTGCTGCTGCCGCCTGAGTGCTGGGTTATATGTGCCCAGCCATGCCCACATCTTTTTTTTATCTTTCAAAATTTAATTTTTCGAGCCGGGCGGTGGTGGCACACGCCTTTAATCCCAGCACTCGAGAGGCAAAGGCAGGCAGATCTCTGGGAGTTCAAGGCTAGCCTGGTCTGCAAGAGCTAGTTCCAGGACAGGAACCAAAAAGCTACAGAGAAACCCTGTCTCGAAAAATCAAAAAAATTAATTTTTCGGTGTTAAGAAGCCACGTGAGTTTTCAATTTTATTATTGCATGTATGCGTCTGATGGAGATGTGTGTGGAGGTCAGAGGAGAACTTTGTGAGGTGGGCTCTCCCCTTCCACCTTTCTGGGGGGAGGGGCCCCAGGTTGGAACTCAGGTCATTAGGCTTGGCAGCGGGTGCCTTACCCTTTATCCATCTCATCACCTGTATTTATTTATTTTAATACAAAGTTTAGATGTTGGAGGGATGGCTCAGCAGGTGAGAGCAGTTGCTGCTCTTCCAGCAAACCCAAGGTCAGTTCCAGAATTCACATGGCAGCTCTGTAACTCCAGTTCCGGGGATCCAACGCCCTCTTCTGACTTCTAAGGGCACCAGGCACATGCATGTGGTGCACAGACATGCATGTAAGCAAAAACCCACATACATACATAAATAATAATTTTAAAAACTAAAAATACTTGCTGTTTTTGCAGAAGTCCAGGTTTCAGTTCCCAACACCCACATGTCAGCTCACAACAGCCTATAGCTTGCGTTCAAGGGGGTCTGACACCCTCTTCTGGCCTCCACCGGTACTACATGCACACGATGCACATAACGTGCAAGCAAGGCACTCATACACATAAAATAAGAGTAAATAAATATTTTAACAACAACAACAACAATAATAAAAACAAGGTTTCATTAATTTTCCAGCTGGCCTCAGGTCTGTACTCCTTCCACCTCAGCCTACCCAGCATCTGGAATTATAGGAATATGCCACCATACTCCACAGAACACTCTTCTTAGAAGAAGGGAAATTATATTTTATGGTGACATTATAACAACATGGAAAGTTATTTTGCATAATGTTAAGCATTTTGCAAAACAGTGCATAAGTTATTACTATCATGGAAACACACTTAGGAATAAACTGCTTATATTTTAAAAGGCCAAATCGACTGATAAGCAGTCACTAGGGACAGAGCTCCTGTGCTCACAATGCCTTGTGGACATGGGGAGACCTAAGAATGAGTCACCCCTCAGCTGGGTGCTCAAGGCCCGGAGACTCACCGTATCACCATACCGAGAAGCTTCAGCTGTCTTTTGGAAGCAAAGGGTTTCTCTGGCATCAGTTCCCTGTGGGGCCAGCCCTGGATCCAGCTCTGCTCTGAGGGCTGGTTTCCTTGAACGTTGGGCACCAAGCCAGAGACTCCCCCACTAAGTTCTTTCTTCTCCTTCTTTCTGTCTAATATGTCCTCTCCTTGCTGCACCGTGGCTGTGAGATGATGCTGAGGCGGCTCAGCTAGGGACGTGCCTGCTGCCAAGTGTAAGGGCTGAGTCTGCATTCCCAGAACCACTGTATAGAAGCCAGCTGTGATGGGGGACGTCTGTCACCCTGGCCTCGGGCAGGGGATGCTTCAGAGGTAGGCAGACCCCTGGTCTAGCTAATTGGTGAACTCTGGGTGCAGCAGGAGACTCTGTCACAAAAAAATTAGGAGGAGGGGCTGGAGAGGAAGAGATGAGTCAGCAGTTAAGGGAGCTTGCTCTTCTTTTTTTTTATTTATGATTTATTTATTTATACATAGACAATGTTAGAAGAGGGCATCAGATCTCATTACAGACGGCTATGAGCCACCATGCGGTTGCTGGGAATTGAACTCAGAACCTCTGGAAGAGCAGTCGGTGCTCTTAACCTCTGAGCCATCTCTCCAGTCCTTGAGCTTGCTCTTCTTTAAGAGGACCCAGGTTCAGTCCCCAGCGACTCATAACCACCTGTAACTCCAGCTCCAGAGGATCTGACAAACTCTTCTGGCTTCTGCAGGCACCAGTGCACACACAGAGAAGCTTCTAACCCAAGGCTGACATTGGCCTGGGTTCTCGATGAGGACCTCATGTCTGAGGCCCTGCATATCTTGAAGCCGCCAGCGCTGACAGTACACAACCGTGCTGGTCCTCTACTCGAGGCACCCCATCCCATTTTGAGCTTGAGATGTAGCTGAGCTGGGCATGCTCTGGCTTTGCCAAGAAAAGCCCTGCACATCCTTCTGGCTCTCCCCAAGTCTCTTCTCCAGGCCCTCTCCTCTGAACCCACCAAGCTTTGGGTTTAGGCTCTTATCACTGTATCCGCCCACCCTCGCTGGCCATGAGAAATAGCCTGGAAGTTGTTGGGAGCCACTTGCTCTCCTGCAGGGCTGTCAGTTCCAGAAGGGCAGAGCTGAGTCTTCCTTGATCACTGTTATGCTCCTCTGTCTTCCCCAGAGCTGCGTTCAATCGCTAGGAATGAATGAGAGGGGGAGTGGACACACAGGAGTTATCAGTGGACAGCTAGAGCCTATGCTCTTCCTGCCCTGGGGGTATCTCAAGGAGGAACACCACGTTGGGGACTTCGCACTGGTGGGTGGGGTCACACTGCCTTTGGAACTAAGCAGTCCCTGAAGAAGAGGAGGCAGCTTCTCAGCTTGCCACTGCTTCCAGGGAGGCAAGTGCGAGCTGAGCAGCTGGTGGCATAAAATCCTGCCTCCGTTTGGTTTTAGATTTAAAATTTTTGTTTTTAATGCGTATGAGTGCTTTGCCTGTATGTATGCCTGTGTACCATGTATATGCCTGGTACCCAAGAAGGCCAGAAGAGAGTGTTGGAGCCCCTGAGACTGTAGCTGCAGGTCGTTGTGAGCTAACATGTGGGTGCTGGGAACTAAACTAAAGCTCTCTGCAAGAGCAGCCAGTGCTCTTGACTGCTGAGGCTTCTCTGCAGCGCCCCCTCCTTGGTTTTGAACCCAGAGCTTTGCACAAGCCAGCACTCTCTGCCTGAGCTACACCCCAGTGACCCATGACAGGGTCTTAAGTGCGGAAGTTGACATTTCTTCAATTTGTCTCCCTTCTACATTTATTTTGTTTTGTTTTGCTTTGAGACAAGACACAGTCTCAGGGCTGGAGAGATGGCTCAGAGGTTAAGGGAATCGCCTGCTCTTCCAAAGTTCCTGAGTTCAATACCCGGCAACCACATGGTGGCTTACAACCATCTGTAATGAGGTCTGGTGCCCTCTTCTGGCCTGCAGACATACAGACAGAATATTGTATACATAAGAAATAAATATTTTTAAAAAAAGACACAATCTCACGTAGCCTAGGTTATCTTTAAAATCATCGTGTAGCTGAGGAAGGTCTTGGATTTCTGATTTCTCTACCTTTGCCTCTCAAGTACTGGGAATATAGACTGAGTTCTATTTGGTGCCAGGAATGAAACCCAGGGCATCTAGAATGGTAGGCAAGCACTGAGCCACATGCCCAGCCCTCCCATGCCTTCTGTTTGTTATTGTCCTGCACTGTAAGGCGACATGTCTTTGCACTCTGGCTCTGGTACTCTTGAGGGTCTTGTCCAATTAGGAGAGGAGAAATGAGGTTGTCCCCTTGGGGAAAGAATGGTGTGTGTGTGTGTGTGTGTGTGTGTGTGTGTGTGTGTGTGTTTGTCAGCACATGTACAGTGGGCCTGTGGAGGAGCTTGCTGGAACCAGTTCTTAGGTCCCATCATGCGTGTCCTTGGGATGGGACTCAGGCTTGGCAGCAAGTGCCTTAACTCCCTGAGCCGTCTCTCTGGCCCTTCTTGGAGGGGGGTTTAAATGGTAGAAGCTCACCACGTGAAGGTTACCGCAAGTTAGTAATGTCAACTCCGGTCACTGTTGGGTGACATCTATCAGACATATATCTCCCCTAGCAATAAGCTGGAAAGAACCTACAAGCTACCACCTGGCAGCCACGGTCACTGCTGCCTTTGCCCTGTCTCCCTCAGGCCCAGTGCGAGGGCTGGCACTGTCCTGCCTCCCCTTTCACAGCTGCTTCCATTATTGCTCTGGGATTGAGGCTTGAGGGGGGATGGGGGAGACCAGGACGGTCTGAGATGACTGAGTCTCAAGCATCTGTCCTTCCCCCTCTGTCCACAGGTGGGTCCCCATCTTGCTACATTCCCCACGGAGGCTGATCGCCAGCGAGCTCTTAAGGCCCACCGGGAAGAATATGCCGTGCGCCAGGGCACCCTGAGGATGGGCAACTATACCCACCCCTAGCCCCACCCCCCACAGGGGAGCCTCCTCAATGCAGTAGAAAAATCCCCAAAGAACTTACTTTGTCCCCCAAATTCCAGGAAGACACACCCATATTTTGACCCAGCTTTTTGTCACAGGGACCTCAAATTCATGTCTTAGGCTACTTATCTTTTTTATAATAACCCCGAGCCCCCAACCCTTTCTGTTTTGTCTTACCCCGATTTCCCTCTGCCTAGAGAGCTCCATCTTCCTCCTCACTCTCTTCCACTTCCTCCTCTCCTCTTTCCCCCTTTCTCCTCTTCCAGGAGACCCACTCTGCTTCACAAGCCTTAGTTTACAACATAAACCAAAATTACAAGGAAGTTTTAAAATAAAAATAAATAAATCCAGGCTATGAATCAGTTTCACAGCCCTGTCAAAAGGTACCAAGAAGGCCCTGTGTTTTTCCTACAGAAAGTATACTCCCCTGCAAGCTTTGAAAGCCCTCCTTTTGTATTTCAAACATGAGTTTTAATTGCCCTTCTGGGGATGTCTGGGGTCTCAACATGGTAGGATTCTCTCTCTGGGACCCCGGCAGCAGGAAGAGTCCGCGGTTCATTACTCAGGGCCAGCCCCCGCCCTCAGTGCTGTGGCCCTGTCAATCACACAGACTAGCATGGACTTCTTCGCTTGTGCAGGGCTAGGGATGGCGGGTGGGGGGTGGGGGGGGGTGACTCCAGCAATGGAATATCTCTGTACCTGAATCTCATCTTTCCCCGGTGTCTTCCCCCCACAAATTACAAACTGGTTTATTTTAAACACAAACGATGACTTGCTCTCTTCACCTTGAGTCTTTATTTGAAAGCAAACTGTAAAGAGAAGAGAACTAACTTCAGATGTGGGCCTTGCTACACAGAGACTTTCAAGGTATGCCAACCTCCACAGCATGCCCACAGAGCCCTCTTTTCAGACAGGCTGGTTTGGGGGCTCTAAGAGCCTGTCCTGGTCAGCGTTCTATAGCCGGGAAGAGACGCCATGACCACACATCTCTTATAAAGAAAAGTATTTAGTTGGGGCTGGCTTACAGTTCAGAGGTTTAGTTCATTGTCATGATGGCACGCAGGCAGACATGGTGCTGGAGAAGGAGCTGAGAGTTCTGCATCTGGGTCTGCAGACAGCAGGAAGAAAAAGACACTGACCATGGCTTGAGTACTTGAGTACCCCACCCCCACCCCCAGTGACTTACTTCCTTCAACAAGGCCACGCCTCCTAATCCCTCTCAGGTAGAGGCTCAAGTGTGTGAGCCTCTGGGAGCCTTTCCTATTTAAATCACCATAGAGCCCTAGGCAATTTGAAGCTCTCAGGACTCACCTGTGCCCCAGCCTGCCTGGTGCCTGAATTGGGAGTCTGACATTTGTTCACCCCTAACCAACCCCAAATATACAGAACACTCTGTTTTCCCCAAACCTGCTTCTGCCTCTGTCTTCACACATCAGAAGTGACACCATGCACCCAGCTGCTGAAGCTCAAACCTTCTTTGGCTCAGGTCCCTTTTCTCTCACATCTAATTCAGAACAGCTTCCGAGGTGTAGTTCAGTCCGTAGAGCGCTTGCCCAGCATATACAAAACCCTGAGTCCCATCCCCAGCATGGCTTAAAACAGGTGTAGAGGAACATATCTAGAATAAGGTTATGTTGTAAGTTCAAGGACAGCCTGGGCTCCCCGGAACACAATCTTAGAAAAAAAAGAAGAAGCCAGGTGGTGGTGGTGCATACCTTTAATTCCAGCACTTGGGAGGCAGAGGCAGGAGGATCTCTGTGAGTTCGAGGCCAGCCTGGTCTACAGAGTGAGTTCCAGTACAGCCAGGGCTACACAAAGAAATCTTGTCTTGAAAAAAAACACACACCCCCCACAAAAAAAGAAAAGAAAAACTGGGTATAGTAGTACACACCTTTAATACCAGCACTAGGGAGGCAGAGGCAGGAGGATCTCTGTGAGTTCGAGGCTAGCCTGGTCTACAGAGTGAATTCCAGGGCAGCCAGGGCTACATAGTGACACCCTGTCTTGAAAAAAACAAATACAAGCCGGGCGGTGGTGGCGCACGCCTTTAATCCCAGCACTCGGGAGGCAGAGGCAGGCGGATCTCTGTGAGTTCGAGGCCAGCCTGGTCTACAAGAGCTAGTTCCAGGACAGGCTTCAAAACCACAGAGAAACCCTGTCTAGAAAAACCAAAAAAAAAAAAAAAAAAAAACAAATACAAGAAAAAGAAAGGAAGAAAAAAGAAAGATTCGTGACTATGATTCACCTGGTTCCTGTGGATGTTGTCTGCAAAACCGGAGCCTCGGCAGCTTTCTCTCTATCTCTCCCCTCCCTCCTCAGCAGCCTTCTCTCTCTCCCACCTCCCTCCACATTAGCAGCCTTCTCCCCGTCCCCGTGTCTCTCTCTCTCCCTCCACACAACATAACAGCAGCCTTCTCTCTCTCTCTCTCTCTCTCTCTCTCTCTCTCTCCCTCCCTCCCTCCACACAGCAGTAACCCTCTCTCTCTGTCACTGTCTCTGTCTCTCTCCACTCCCTCCACCTGAGTTGCATCCCAGCTCAGAGAAGTTCAGAAAGCTCCTACCAGCTGCTGGCCTCAGCCTCCTAGCTCCTCTGAAGCCACGCTCTGGAGCAGGCTTTCAAGTTCTGTAGCTTCTGAAGGAAAGGCCAAGGTCCAGCGGGATGTTCCATTGCCTGCCGTCACTTCCCACCTGAGCCCTTCCCTGAGTCACCTCTCACCTCTGGCCCCTTCTCATTCCCCTATGGGCCTGCTAGCTTCTGCCTCAGGCTTAGAGCTGTTTTCTGCCCAGCCTGCTGCACTTGAGGTCCACACTGTCACCTGCCTAGTCCTTGTCTTTCAGATCTTACCCGAGCTCCTCCTCGCACAGCCCCAGGTAAATTCACACTCGCCTGTGTGAATTCTCTGCAGCAGAGGACCCCACTCTGGCTCACTGTCCGTCTTCCCTCCAGAGGGACACCACCGCTGCCATCAGGGACCTCAGACCCCAGAGCCAAATCCTATGGGTCACCTGGTAGGTGTTCAGGCCTGTCTGCACAGTGGCCACTGATCGGAGATCCCCAGGGCCTGGAGGGTTCTGTACCCCAATCTGAGTAGACTTCTACATTGGTACATGCTCCACATACATACCTATAAACACACAGTACACACACACACACACACACACACACACACACACACACGGCTACAGTCCATTAGCAGCTACATACTGACTGCTTGGGACCCTGGCTCAGTAAGGCTGTGAAAGACCCTACACCACCTATGAGCTTGAGCCCTATTCTCACTCCCAGAGGGAAACAAGTCTCCTGACTCACTTGGCTGAAGCCATCCTGAGTCTCTGAGCAGGGTGGAGATGCAGAGGTGAGCCAGAGACAGGGGTGAGGGTGCTTGGGGGGCTGGGGTGTGTGTGTCAGCCACAGAGACGGCAAACTGGGCTAAGAGCATGAAGCCAGTATGATCCAGAGCAAGTGTCCAGACCTCTGGGTCTGAATGCGAGGCAGGATCCTGTTCCATCACCTCTGAGTTAGTGAGCAGTCCCTTAAAGAATGTGTAGGATGTGTTAACACCATAATAAACTGTGCATAAACATGAGTTTTTGTTTTCTTGCACTAAAACACACTAGGAGTGAGTGAATCCTATCAAAGGTGTAGGATGAGCCCATGTTCAAAGAGCAAGGAAGAAATACTTGGGATCAAGCCATCTTTTAGCAAGAGGAGCAGCTGTATCAGAAGCCAGATAATTTTCTAAAGCATCCCTCCCCTCCAAAAAATTGCACGTTGGGCTACTAAAAGTAGGGTTAGCCTTACTGTGACATTGACAGAGTAGCTAGAAGGACCAGGCTGGCTTTCCCCAGGACCTCACTATCCAGCTATCTTTTGCCCTGCACACCGTGCCTCTTGTGGGGCCTGTGACAATGCCTGGGCGCTGTCCTCAGGGGTCATGCTCAGGATTAGGGCTGGATCTCAGTAAACTCAGTGAAGTCCCTCAGCTTCTTGTCCTACAGCGCCACCAACTGGAGAGCCAGAGGCAGAGCCTATGGAGATTCCTGGCCCAGCACCGGGAATCAAGTTCCACTGATTTGATTCTTCTGACCTCATCAATTACTTGAGCCTGTACAAAGCCCCATATCTGGGTCTGGTTTGATCCCACCGCTTAAAGTATCCTGCCACATTAGCCAAGGCCTTGTCCCCACTTGAGCCTGGCTTGGGGTCGGGGTGCAGCTGCCTGACCTGTTGATCGAAGTAGAGGCCCTGAAGGCTCCAGTCTACAGGGACTGGGAATTCATTTTGTTCACTTCGTTAACCTCCCTCTACCACCATCCCACCAACAATCTCACAGGTAGCAAATTCGTGTTTAAAAGACACTAGAACCCAGGGCCAGGGAGATGGCATAGTCAGAAAGTTGCCTTAAAAAGACACCCCCTCCGCCTCTACAGTCTCACTATGTAGCTCTGTCCTGGAACTTGCTATGTAGACCAGGCTAGCCTCGAATTCACAGAGATTTGACTACCTTTGCCTCCTAAATGCTGGAATTAAAGGTGTGTGTGCCACCACACCCAGCCCATGGGCCTGCTATCTTCTGATCCCAGTGTTGAGGAGGTGAACCCAGGTGCATCCCCGAGCTTGCAGGTCAAACAGCGTAGCCTACTTGACTAGCTAGTGCTTACCAGTCTAGTGAAAGACTCAAAAGACAAGGTGGGTGACTCCCGAAGATCTGACATCTGAGGTTAATCTCTGACCTATTACCTCCCAACACATAAGTATGCACACCTACACCTACGTACACACACCTACACACACATACACCTACACGTGTGTACACCTACATACACATACACACACCTACACACATACAATTACACATGCATGCACCAACACACGCGTATACCTACACACAGACACACCTACACACATACACATCTATGTACACATACACCTATACACACAGACACACCTACACACATAGACATTTACACACATACACATCTGTGCATACATACACCTACACGGGCATACACCTACACACACAGACACACATACACACACAGACATCTACACACATACACATCTATGCACACATACACCTACACACATACACACACGCCTACACACATACACACTCACACCCACACTCAAATGGAAACTAGAACTCAATCAGGGAGGTCTACATCTCAACCTAGAATCTGCTTCTAAAATGTCCTGTCAACTGGGGAAGCATGCAGATGGGAGAACTTAGCCCTCCACCCCGGGTCTTCTCCAATAGTTCTTTGTGAATGCAGGTGTCA